ATATCTAGTCCTCTGCCAGGTTCGTTTCTCTCTGATCCAACTGTGTGCGGCATGAGTCCAAAGCCGTCCAATCTTATGGACATGCTTTGGCCTCAGCGAGAATTACCCCCCCTCTGAATAAAACAGGGGGATGCCGAGCCGTCCAATCTTATGGACTTGCTCAGGCCCCCTTCGATCAGAGACAAATGAAACAGAATAAACCCCAACTGCACATGGCAACCAAGCCCTCCAATCTTATGGTACAGGCTTGGCTCCTAAACGTCAACCACAGTCAAGCCCTCACAAGTCAGAGCAATCAGACCATCCAATCTTACGAGGAAGTTACGGAACATGCTTGACCCCATGGGACACTGTCAGTCTCATGCAAACCCGCCTTCCACCCACCCTTCCCCGAGATGCACCTTCTTTTCTTGAACAAATCTGCTTTCAGGCAATCAAAAGAAACTGAAACTGCGCTTTCTCACACATTCCTTTACTTAGTCTGAATTGTCTTGTAAGTCAACCTAAAGTCAAAGTAGGGCTGCATGCAATATAGTCAATCAATACATAGGGAGGTGTATAGGTAGGGGTTATACTGGGTTTATAAGGGAAAGCAATGGTTACCCCTAAGTTCCCTGCCTCCAGAACTCTTCCTGAGTTCCGGCAGAGCTCCCGCAATCGGTGGGGCAAACCTCCCACAGAGGCCTTGGCGCGGATTACGGGTTGCAATCCCGCCTGCTGCCTTCCTCTCAGAACTAGATTAGACTTAGAGTAAGAAGGGCAGATAGAGAGGTTCCAGGCGCTCGAGATGCAAGAGGGGGATAGACTCAACTCTCAGGAGAGAGTCTCGTCGCCTTGATTCGCCTGAGGGCCCCACAATGGCGACCAAAGTCGTAACAGTTTCGTCAGGACTAAAGTCCAATCACTGAAGTCAACCTCTGACGCCTTCCTCGTTCGCAGCAATAACCCCGCTCTCAAAGCCCAATTACTCCTCTGAGTCATAACATCTCTCTTTGGATCAATTACTGTTACACAACAACTTGAAACGCCGATAACTTTGCGGAACCTTAACGAATCTCACATGCACAACACTTTGTATACAACTGTCGGGCGCCGCAACCGTATGTGATGCAAGCTTCACCACGCTGCCGTGCTGCTCAACAATTCATTAGCCCTCAGCGTGCCTGAACGCTGGTTATAGCAGCAAGTCCAAAACAACCTGCAGCAGCTCAGTGAGCAAGAGTTCAGCAAGCAGCGGCTTGATGAGCAACAACAGCCCCCCCCCTTTTTCGTACAATGGCAACAACTGAGAGCATGAAGACGCCGACTTCGCGGATCATCAAAGAGATCACGTACGTACTGCCTCTCTCGTTCAATCTCTCTCCCTCTCTGTCTGTAACTTACTAGCCTGTGCATACGTTGAGAACAGACTTCTTTTCTTTTTACAAGAAAGCGTGCACCGTGGTCATCCACGGGCAGGATGGACAAAAGCAAAACAGGGCCTTCCAATCATAACACGATTCGCTGCACTGCAACTTCCTGAGTCTGCCTGTCCCGTAGCCCGAAGACGTCGTGGCTTGCTTTCGGCTCGCCCTGCACACCCATCCTCCAAACGAGGGCGACCCCGTTGTTGAACCCGGCCTAATACACACAGGTAGGTAGGAGATTCCTCGTACAGTAGAATCTGCCGCGCCCTCGACAACAGGTAGACTCCCAACTTCAGGACTAGCTTCCTTCGTCTCCCTCAGGTAAACCTTCAACATCACAGTTGCCCTCTCTCACTTCCATCGTTCGGCTGGGCAGCGCACACCTAAAGGTGAGTTTTCATTCTCCACAGCTGCCTTACGCAACTTCCACCACTAGGGTGAGCAACGCAGCAGACAACAGGTAAGTTTCCAACCCGCGATTCGTTCCCTGCTACATGCCCAATAGAGCGGGCAAAAATCAAGAGAACCTCCACCCAAATCCCGACCACATTCATTCACACTTGCTAACTTCAAGCCTTCCCTTTCCGCGCGCACCCTGTGCTCCCCGCATCCTTGAATCCAACCACTGACTCGTGAATCCGACTTCACGATCGGATTCGCCCGTCCTCTAAACCTTCAAAACGCACTCTCGCCCTCCCGTTCCCGTAAAGAAACGTGCGGGGTCCTTACCTTTGTTCCGCCACATCCCTCATTCTCGACTCCACCGCGTGATCTCTTTTCTACTAGCTCTCTATCCACTCTCTAACTCGCCGTTCCGACCTCGTAACGCGACTCGTCCGGCATCTGTCCCCGAGAACGCCTCCTTCCTTGCCTTGTTTCATCAAGGAATGAGTGCGATGTGTCGTTCTTCTCCCTCGCCTCTTACCATTCCAGTCGTAGCACGTTCCTCCGCCATCCCTCCGCTATCCTCTTTTGCATGCACCTGGCGCGATTTCGCGTCCAGGTTCACTTTCCCGATCTTCCCACCTAACCAGCCAGCTCCGCCATTAGCGTTGTGCCCCGCTCAACTCGTTCCCCTCGTCTTCTCGTTCGTCACCCGGTAAGCCTTCCCCACGCCTCGCCTCTTCTCCTTGCCCCCCTCGCCTTCGTCACCAACTAGAACCAGCGCTCCGCGGCCGAGATAGCGCACCGTGGTCGACTAGCAGTGCACTAGACCGAACGACCAGGCGATCGAAATAAGCGAGTCGATCGAAACAACAACAAAAAAGACAGAGGACGAAGATGCATCCTCTTATTCCCCCCTTTCTTTTGCCCGCGCGTCCGCTTTGCGCCAGGGCCATGCTAATCTTCTCTGTATCGATCCAATATCAGCGGATGTCCCGAAGGACCAGCCAGGCAGTGCCCCACGAAGAGGCCAAAGGTCACTTGGCCTGTATTTTGACAACTCGTGGGTAATCCACTAAGCTAGGCCCACGGTCAAACAGCCACGCTCGGACCCGGTGTCGGGACCCAAATGGGGTCCACAAAAATAAAATTAAAAAATTTAGGAGAAAAGAAACCCAAAACGATACTGAGGGGTCTACCGAAGACAGACAGCGGGACCTACCTACGGTCCCCTTGGCTCTTACAAACGGGCCCGCGGCCGGACTCCCCCAGCAAAAACTAAAAGGGATAGTCCCACGGGACCCTCAACCCCTCAATCTTGCCTTCGCTCTGCTGCTCCTGCGCCGACGCCCGCTAACCTCGATCCCCGTACCTCTGTGGCAATAGTCTGACACCGTAACCTATAGGGCTAAGCCCAAGCTTGGAACAATTGGGCGCCCACTTCGATATGAAGTGGTGCCGCGCAATACCTGGGCCTGGGAAGAATAGCCCGAGCCTCCCCTTTCCTGCCTGCAGCCGGCGTGCCAACACTAGGCACCCGCGCAGGCTCACTTAGACCGCGCCATGGTGGCCTTCGCGCGCCACCCCGTGCACCAACCCTACCGTCGCTCGTGCGCGCCAACCCAAAAATGAACCTTTATTCCTTGATCAACCTGTAACGCGGCCCGGGCCGGTCGACTAGACCGGCCACTCACTCAATCAGAAAAATCACACGCGCGCCCCAAAACTGTGCACCGACGCACTCCATCTATTTAGACCACTACGGCCCAACCCAGGCAACCACCCTGGCATGTGCGACACTCAAAAGATCTAAACCAACAGTCCCTCTGTCACTTGCAAAAACCGGGGCGGATACCCTTGTAAGGGTATTCGCGCCGATAGCGTGACAGGGTAAGTCGGCCATCAAAGGGGCATACCGCAAATAAATGGAAGTCGAAGGGGCATTTCAAAAATTTTCCTTTCATTGATTGATTGATTAATGGGGTGGGGCGGGGTCGCCCTTTCCCCGCAAGCCCTAACCAATCAATCAATCAATCAATCAATTAATCAATTCATTAGTCAAATAATATCTTTCGATTGATTGATTGATTGATCCATGGGGGGTGGCCACCCCGCGTGAACACACGCGCGCACACACACACACACACACACACACACACACACACATGCGCTTGTTCATGCTTTTTTTTCCAATTTTTTATCGTTTTTTTTTTTTTGATTGATTGATGATTGGGGGGGGGGGGGGGGGGGGCCCCCCCCCCCCCCCCCCCCCCGTGCGCACACACAAACCCACACACACACGGGAGCGCGTGTTCACTTTTTTTTTTTTTCCAACTTCTTCTTATTTTTTTATTGATTGGGTAGAAGGGGGTGAACCCCCTCCCCCCCCCTTCCCTCTCCCCCATACACACACACAAAAATGGCGGGAGGGTTCCTGCAATTTGGTAGGCAGATTGTCTCCCTATCGAACTTTTTTTTTAATTAAAAAATATGTAGTGTGGAGAAACCCCCCTCTGCAATATATTCAAAACCGAAAACAAAAAAACTCTGAAAAATAAAAAACAAAAAAATAAAAAAGTTTGCGTTCGGGCCGAACCTCCGGTTAGGGGTCTCGAACGTTCGGGCATTCAGGTTCGGGGGTTCGGCCCAAACCGAACGTCGGTAACCCTTTGTATATATAATATATCCATTTTATAGTTAGTCAAAGAGAACCGTTTGGTGAACCGTACGAAGAAAAGGAGAAGGGGACAAGAAAGGGGGTTGGAACAGACATCTATGATGATAAACATGTATATGTGTGTGTATATATATATATATATATATCGTCAAACAGAGCTGCCCGGTAAGCCGTAGGCAGAGAGGGAGAAGAGGACAACAAACGAGGCGCTGTGACAAACTCTTTCTTCGGATTATATATATAAAGATATATATATATATATATATATGTAATGTATGATATATATTATATATATAGTCGCAAGGCGCTGCCTTGTGAACAGTAGGAATACAGGGAGGAAAAGGACAAAAGACGTACGAAGAGATATGACACTATTTCATAGTAATTCATCAAACGCGTGAGTCCTATAAAGCACCTCACATGGAATTCATGAGAAGGGCTTTGATTGATTTGAGTATGATGCCTTTTTTTTGCCAAATATATATAAGTTGAAAATGAAAACTTATTTTTTTTCATGTTTGTCAACCTTGCAGATACAAAATCAAAAGACATTATGGATGATGGTGGAGGCGTCACTAATGAGGCCAATATGCTAGCAGAGAATGCTGATGCACACGATCGTCTTCTTCCGAGTCCTCATTCCTCAACCGAGGTGGAGGTAATGAATTTCATCCATTTTGAAGCCACTTATGGTTCTTTGAGTTTGGGGTAGTATCATATGGCCATCGAATGTGTAAGGAACTTTAAGATTTTCGAATTGCAAAATTTTAATTCATCATCAAGGGAAAGAAGAAGTATCATATGGTGGTCATTCAAGAGCTACGGCTGACTTTTACAAAATACATTTGAAATCTAGGATGTGTCCGTCTTTGACTTTTGTGATTATGAAATTGAATTTGGAATTTGAATTAGGTATAATTGTAATGAACTTGAACTTAAGAAGATGACAATCAAACTGGGCATGAACTCACAGCACTCTACTTAATGGTAACAAGCAAATGTTACTTGGAATAGCAATCAACGATAAGACAATGGAAAAAAAAGCACATGCATAAAAATATCTAAAAAATATAGAAAGAGAAACAATGAGTACACAGTTCAAATTGCTTCTCGCTTTTCTTCTTCTATGAAATTTCTTCTTGTCAACCAATATACATATATATATATATAAACAATGTTGTTCACCAAGTCAATCTCTTTACAACGAAGGTCTATCCAAGCGTAACAGCTTCCATGTCCCAAATGCATGTATGTGTTTATTTGTATTATCATATATTTATAAACTAAAAACGCACATTTTGGGAAATAAACAGAAAAAAAAAACAACACAGAAAGTGAAGCATATTGAAACTGTACATTAGAGTTTGCTCATGGTGTTTTTTTTTTCTCTTTGTTTACTTCGACTTTTTCGTGGTTTCTCTTTTATTTATCCTTCTAGCTTCTCTTTTACCATGCTTCTTATATACAAGGTTTTCCATGTTCATGTAGTTGAGTGAGAGATCCCCACATCCTCATGTACTATAGATGTCCAGTTGCACGCTATGGAAAAGAGGCAGAGTAAAAGAGGATGGGACAAAGATTCAAGATAGATGAAAGGAAGATAAAAATAAGGAAGGCAAAAGGAAAATAGATTAAAAAAAACTTAAGAGTCAATATAGCAATTGAACTTACATGCATGACATACGCAACAAACCAATAACACAGTTGATATCCAAGCTCAAAGTAGCCAAGGCAGCAATGTGAATTGGAAAACAAGCTATTTGAACAAGTACCAATATAGAATCACCTTCGACAGTTTGGTTTGCCGCCGCAAAACTCCTCAGGGTGTTTTTCACCTCTCCTTCTTCGTTGACTATGAGGAAAACACTAACCCACGCAAAGTGATGGTTGATAAAGAAGACTCATGAGTCAGGATATCGATTGTACTTGCATGCATGACATATAGAGAAAGTACGATATGTTATAGCAACCCACTTGTACACTATGAAAAAGAAGGAGAGCTATGAATCCCCCACGAAAGACGGCCACGCGCGGTTGTGGGACCGTACGGCCACCGTAGCGGCCAGCAGGGGGGGGTGCAGGGGTGTGGGTGGCTGGTTGGGGTTGCGCAACCCCAACCCCAACCCCTAGCCCAAAAAA